TTGTTAAATAGTGTAGTAGAATTGTTATAAAATTATATGATTTTTTTTTTTAAAATATGGATTTAATATTTTTTTATGATTTGATAATATAAACAAATCTATACTTAACTTTGACAAATAAAACAAATAAATACTTTAGTAAGTATTTAATGTATATACTAAATAGGAATATATTTGGTATAATCAAATACCAAATATAATCAAATAAGTCAAAGTGTACATTTTTATTTGGTATTTGATTTTTTTATTATTAAAATCTTTTTATTATACTTACCTTTTTAAAATAAAACAAATAAATAAATCAATTAAATAAATAAAATATTATAATACCAAAATAGTAATGACATTTAATGCAGTTGACTTTTCTGGATAATAAATGTAGTAAATAGAATATCCTTTTATATAATATAATACGGAAATAGTAATGCAATAAATACTGTTGACTTTTCTGACTACTTAATTTGGTAAATAGTATCCCCTTTAATATAAGTATAGATACTCCATTCATCTTTTATCTACAAGTAATAAAAAACTCATTATGGCAATACATTAGTTAAATATAGTAAAATAATATAACTTAGATATTTCTATCTATGACCTACTACAATTAATAAATTAGTATCTATTATATAAAATACTTTAATAAATGCAAGAGAGAAAATATAAATTTGTTTTTCTTGCTTAAAAAAGACATCAAGATTGCCAAGTTTTTTGAACATTGCCAAATTCATAGCAAATTTGCTACTCCTATTTTTTATTGCATTATGAAACATATTTGTAATAAAAATTGGACATCAGGAAGTATCTATATATATATATATAAAAGTTTGATTATTTTTTAAATAGTAATTATTTTCGTCTAAAAAAAATTTATTTACTATTTTGGGAAATTAATTTAAAGATTTATGATATATATCAAATAATCACTTATGGAAATTGTGGCTCATTATTTAAGTAAGTAATTAAGCCATATTTTAAGATACCTTAATTACTCAAATCATGTTAATTAATAAATATATAGTATACAGTGAACGAATTTATTTTGGGTATTGATGGTTGTTTCTATGAGAAATAAATTAATCAATATATGGGATACAATGAGAAAATTTATTAGGTTATTTGATAACTGTTTTTTTTTAGAAAATTTATTGAAAAAATAATCAGTTACGGTGTACTTTTTTGTGTAATGCACATGCTAATATATTAGTTTTTAAGTGTGGGGTTTGAATTTTTATTTCAATTTTTTCGTATGAAATTAACATAATAAAATTACGTAACTCCAACAAAATAATATGAACTTATATTTTAATATAATGTGTGTGTATTGATATTTCTTTATAGAAAAAGCATTGGTCATTTTTTTTTTATATAATTTGTGGGTCTCGATTTAATTCATTTTTTGTTACGACATTTCAAATAATTTTTGTGTGAAATGCATTGTTTATTTTTTTAGCATGATAAAGAGTGTCGAATTTTTTTGCCATAAAAAATTTTACAACTGATTGTTTTTACTCAACTACTTAAATTTTTTGATTTGGATATTTTATAAAAAAATAAATTTATTTTCATTAATTAAACAATATAATTTTTATATTTATACTTATTATCCACATAGGTTTTTAAATATATTATAAAATTTTATTAAAACAATTATTTTATGAAATCACGTTATAGTCAAATCGAATTTCTGAATAAAAATTTTGAAATGACACATATTTTGAAATGAATATAATGTAATTTATTATCAGTTATATGCAACGCCTAATTTTAAATAAATATTTTTATATAATTTTGCACAATTTAAATTTCATATAATATTTTCAATAAATTATATAGCTACATTGTATTGCATTTTAATTTCATACTCCCAATTTATAAATATTATTTAAATTTTTTTTTTAATTTATAAATATTAATTAATATCTCTTACCATTCATATTATTTGGATAACAAAACCGAGAACTATAAATTGTAATGGCCAGATTTCCATCATCAATCTTGTCGTCTGCACCTCGTCACCGCCCTCGGTCGGGCGAAATTGAAGCAGAGGGCGACAAGCAAGCCGACGTTTCTGCCCAAAACAATCTCCTAATTTCCCTTCCCGATGATTTGCTTTTCAACATCCTATTGAACCTTTCTGCTGAAGACATTTATAGCTCAAGTCTCGTCTGCCGGAGACTGTACTACCACACGATCCTCTCCGACGAATTCGTAAACCTCCACCTCCGGCAAACCGACGAATACGGCCTCTTCTTCTTCCTATGCATTTATACCCAAACACGTGAGATTACTGCGGTTTTCGTGTCTATGAAACAGGGCCGCGTCACGTTATCCCACTACAAACCCAGATTTTTCTTCAACACCAGCTGCAACGGCCTCATCCTCCACCACGAGCGTTTAGATCAATTTTCCGCCGTCCACGTGGCCAACCCAGTGACGTGGCAAAGTGGGAGCCAGTCCCCGGGTATCCCAAGTGGTATCTTTAGACTGGGAAAGCCCTCACTCTAGTCTAGTGGTTAAAGTTGAGGATGGCGTGTTTCATAGTTTGGGAGATGGTGTGTGGGGATTGTTATTATTGGAGGGAATGGGAAGGTCAGATTGTGTTGGGAATGGGAAGTGAAATTCGAGATTTGTTTGGTATTCGGCCGATTGGTTGGTTGCAGGAGATGGAGGTGTTGGTGTTTGAGAGATCGTCCATAAACCCATACCATCAGGTGAGGGGAAAGGATTGGTTGGGGAATTTTATACAAGTCAGGTCCAATTTTGCCTCACAAAAACACACTTGTGAAGTTGGAGGGGTACTAACTAAACCCATTTACTGTGTAATTAGTATCTATCATCTTCATTTCTTGTTTATGTTTGTAGGATGGGATTTCTTTAAACATAGTGTTTTTCTCTTTAAAAAGAAAAAGTAAAAAATTAAGCTGATGGGTTTTTTGTTTTATTCTCCTCCACACACACAGATACAGTGGTGTGTGACTAGTTAAATTTACATGTTTGGAAGATTTGAGGGGCTAAGCAGATGGGCTCCATGAACACCCATGTACATGTTTATATCTCTACGACAATCATAATCCTTGCCATCATTAAAGTATGAAGTATTTACTATTCAAATATTTGATGGAGGTTCCATTCTGTAGTGGTCTCATCTTTTGTTTTTTTTCACCAAACGATGTCAATATTACATTATTTGAGAACAAGAATCAATTGACAATCATATGTTCATGGATTTTTTTTCTCTCAGAAGCAAAAATCTTCTTCTGGCAGCGTTATGTGATATTTCTGTATTTTTTAGAATATGGTTAATCTTTAGGGAGATGCAGTAAGTTTCTTACTTATGCTGTTGGGATGAGGTTCTCAAACCATAATTTTGGTGATTAAGCAACTTGTATTATTTTTCTTTCCTTTGCTTCACACACCCTTCAGAGTGATGTGTTTCTATTTTCCTTGGCTTTCGATATTGAACTCTTCAAACTCGAGTGTTCTGCCGAGATTGAAGGCCTCAATCTCATATGCTACTGCATTTCTAATTAAACCAGGATAAGACGAGCTTTTTATTCTACAAGGAAGGGGGATAAATAGTACTACCTCCTATTCTTTTTAAATGTCATCTTGGTTTTATCAACTATTAACCAAAATAAATATCGTTTTGGATCTTTTGTATATATTTTTCCATTATTACCCTCATTTAGTTAATAAATACAATACGTATTCTCATATTCTCTTCATCTTTTTTTTTAAACATTCATCTCTATCTTCATTAATGAGGGTTATTATTGGCAAAAAAATTATTCTTAATTAGTGTGCAACTTCCCAAAACGACACTTATTATGAATAGGAGGGAGTATATGCAAAACGTCCCTATAGAGAATGCATTTAAGTTTCACGGTTTTTGGAGACTGTCATTAGCCTTCTTCCCACGTATTCTGGAGATCTTCGTGTGGCGACGCCCAATTGAGGTGAAGGATATAGAACAGTAGATCCGTTCTCACGATCCCGTAGACAAGATCCGTAAGATTTTGATTCCAAAATTTTAAATCAGCTGTGCGTATGATTAATTTTTTAACGTATTCAATTAAGGAACAATTAATCGACGTTCTTTGTCAAACTCAATACATAGGTGATGACAAATTGAAATAGCTACTTTGACTAGCAGATTGTATTAGTTTTTTTAAATAATTGTTTTTTGATAGCTGATTGCATTAGCAATTTTGAAAATCTCACATTGACATGTTATTATACAATAATCTCATCTCAACATGCTCACTGTATATAGTTATTTTGATATCTCATGTGACATGTTATTATATGAATTATCTTTTGTCAAAACGCTTATTTTAATAATAGCAGATTATATAACTATTTTGAAAATCTCATATTGACACAACATTATACGAATAGGGATTTTGACATACTATTTTACGAATCCCTATTATTGAGCTTTTTAGGAATTAGCATTTAGGTAAAAAACACTAATTAAAACATTTTATCAAACAAATTAAGTCAAAACTCTAAAAAAAAGATAATTTTTTTACCAAATATTATAAAAAGATAATTTTTTTACGAGATTCAATTCGCTTTGGATGAGATTCAATCCGATAAATTTACAGCTAACTACTTGCATTCAACAAGTGCATATAAGAGGAAAAATAACATGTAACATAAAACTTTCAAAATAATTATACAAGCTATTTATCAAATATTTTTTCACAATATGCTAGTCAAATTAATGTTACAATTAAACATGAGAATGACTTTTTTAAGAAAACGAGACCATAGTAAACAAGATCGGACCCCACCCGAGAAATCCGTTTCATAACCGCGTGTACCACTGTAATTAAAAGAAATTCACAGTGCCATTTTCATTGGAATTCAGCCATAACCGTCAACGCTTCTTCATCTGCCGCCGGCTCCCAAACCCTTCTCCAATATTTTCAGCTCAATTTACACCATTTTCCGTCGATTATAATCATTTTTTGTTACCTCACGTATCAGCTCCGATGTCGGTGAGTCAACGCTTCACCTTGTACTACATGTTTCTATTATTTTTTGGCGTATTTTTTTATTGATTACTCGTTTTTTTCTGTTTTTCAGTGTCTGACCAGTTTTGCTTTCTGGAATTTGCATTTTTTTTTTTTATTCGTTGTGAAATTTTTAAGCGCTAAGTTAAATTGTTGTGTGTTGGTGCTGATGTGATGATTTTAGCTTTTATCTGGGTATAACTTGGAAGTAGTTCAATGTGACTGTCATTGTGTAATGTATATTATATAAATGTGGTTCGATCTTTAGATATTTTGATTTCTGGGACTGGAATGTGGATCAACTTGTAGCGACCTTCACCTTCGAAGAACCAATAATTGTAAGAATCGAGCGTATGCTATAAAAGGCGATAGGATACCTACTCATGGAAAATGCACCATTATTGTACTTCGTTTGTTTCATCCGAAAGGCTCGACTATAGCAAAAAAAATATAATTAAAGAAGGGCACATAAAGGGTGCCGAATGGCTGTGGTGAATTCACGTTCATGGCCTTCATTTTGCTAAACAAGATAAGAGCTCCTCTTTGTTGCTTTCCTATCCCAACTTTTATTATTTAATACGAATTGGAAAATGCAGTTGCTAGATACCACATATGTTCGTATTGGAAAGGATTGGTGGAGGAAATGCCAAAGAGATGATAAGTTGACTTTGCGCTATCTTTAATCCCCTTTCATTTTTTTTTTTTTTGATTGTCAAGCTCTCCCTTGCTAGGGGGGTGAATCCTAAGATATATATCCCTTGTGAAGGATTTGGAGGTTGAAGAGTGATATTTTTCTTGTTTAGACAAGTAGGCATTAGAAGATAAAGAAGCCACTGCATTTTAAAATATAAAAATTTCGTTTCTGAATGCGGAAACTGAGGTTGAAAGTTAATTAAATGATAACTTGATTTGGATTTTGCGAGCAACAAATAGTTTCAGTTGCATTTTTTGAGTCTGAGGTCAACTAAAAATGAATCATTTTGTTTGACCTTCCCGCAAATGAATGGTAGCAGCTGAACGAAAAGTTGCATATTTGATTTTATTGGAATCATAGTTTCTAAATTATGTGAAAAGTTGGATTTCTTTTATATGGAAAACACTATTATATTGACGTGATTGTAAGAATTCTTGTCCGTATCTTTGCGTGAGACCTGGATTGATGGGTATGCTCTTTTTTATATCTGCTTCTTTCCAATGGTTTAAACAGATCATCTCAAACTGATGTATCATGGAACATTAATGCATCAATATTATGTCTTTATAAACGTCTACATGAAAAAAGCCTTTGGTTAGTATTTATGACAATTATTTTATAACTGGAAAACAAAAAGTAGAGAACTCTGTGCATATGTTTCATACATTGTACTGATCTCCCTTTTGATAACGCTCTTCTGGGAGGCTTCATAATATCGAGCAGAAGTGTAGTGTGTTTTTCCCAATTGTGTTTCTATTTCGAAAATTGAAAATCTATATCTGCTACTTACTCGATCATTTTATTGACGAGTTAATACGTTTTCTTGAACAAAAGTGTGAATTGTGCTCAAGCTGGTGGATATGATGTTAGTTAATTGAAAACCTTCTGGTGGCCTTCAAATCACTATCACGTGTTTACAATATCCTGCTCTTTGTGCTCATTCATCCATCTTTTTTCTTTTTTTTATTGGTTGTCTTGGATTTGCGTTTATTTTTCAAACCGCGGAGCTGCTACTTTTCCAATAACATAAAACCAAGTGCTTTTATAACAAACACAAAAAGTTATTTTGTTATTCACAGATAAGTTGGTGTTGAATATGTATTGGATAGACATACTTCTTTTTACCTGTGTATCCCCTGTTTTAAATGTCACACTTTTTCTTGGGAAAACTTATCTTAATGTTCTCTATCTTCGCTGCAATATCCTAGGTCACAACTGTCAAGGTCAGCAATCTCTCTCTGGGGGCATCTGAACGTGATGTGAAAGAGTTTTTCTCCTTTTCTGGTGATATTGAATATGTGGAGATGCGAAGGTTATTTTAGTTTGCCGTATATTCTTCCTTTCGTCTCTCTCACACCCTCACTCTCAGACACACACATTCTTGTGTGTATTAGTTAATCTTGACACATTCATATTTATTGCATTGCATGTGTCTTGCTTCTGTAGTGATACTGAACGGTCTCAGATTGCATTTGTGACCTTCAAGGATGCACAGGGAGCAGAGACTGCAGTTCTTCTCTCGGTAGCTCTCTTTCTCTCTGTGTGTGTGTATTTGTGCAAAGGTTCTAACTTCTCTTTTTTTTTTTTTTTATTNTCAATTTTTTCAACAGGCATCGGACAAGAAATCTGAGTCCGCCTTCCAGAAGGCAGAGGACGTCGTTAGCGGCATGCTCTCCAAAGGCTTCATTCTCGGCAAAGACGCCATTAACCGAGCCAAATCGTTCGACGAGCGTCACGGGCTGACATCCACTGCCAGCGCAAAAGTCGCATCCCTCAACAACAAGGTACGCGAGGTCGACGAGAAGCTCCAGGTGTCAGAGAAGGCCAAGTCAGCACTAGCGGCTGCCGAGCAGGCGGCCGCCACTGCCAGCTCAGCAATCATGAAGAACAGGTACGTGCTGACAGGGACTACGTGGGTGGCGGGGGCCTTCAGCAAGGTGGGGGGCCAGAGGGCAAAGGAGAAGGTTGGTGGGGAAGGTGAAGACGAGGAGAAGCGGAAAATTGTGGACGATTTTGCCCAGGTTCGTCTGTCGGAGTCTCCTAAAGGGTCGGATTCGGATGAGAAGTGCCCGACTAAGCCTGCCCCGGCTCAAGGTTTAATTCTCTGATCTTTTACTGTCTTTCCTAGTTTCAACTGTCCTTTAGGCAAAAGCCTTCCATTTTCTTGAAGGACGATTTTTGTACTTTGTTATGAGCTACTATGACTGCTTGTTTTTCTGTCTCTACTCTGTAGCTTTACAAATATATATCGGGTCGAAAGGGGGAATTATATTTATAAGGAGTTATCGTGACGGACTATTTCTTGATTTTTNNNTTTAAATAAAATGAGTTTTTATTTGAGTTTTATCGAGTGTGCCTGAGATGAGCTTTTTGTTGGCACAAACAGTGTTTTGTTTTTGATATAGAGAAGTTGATGTCTGTTGAAATCTGTATTGGTCTGTAAAATTAAATTGAGGCCCAAGCCTAACAGCCCTTAAAACTTCCCAGGCTGCCCAAAATTAATTGATTAGGCCCATCATCGACCCAATGGGCTGACGTGGCTGTGGTAGTGGGGCCGAAGGCATGATGGTAATCAAAGTATGTTCGGATATAGAGTATTAATATAAAATTTAAATTTAACTTTTTATTAATGAAAGAGATTTTTGACCGTTTCTTTAACCGTTGGAGATGTTCGCAAAAACACTCGTAATTGTTTATAAGATATTTGGGCACTTTTGACCTTTTATTTTAATTGAAAATCTAACTCAATCAACCCTCATCAATATTATTATCAATATAATTCAATAATATGATCAATGATCTTCATATATTTAATCAACTTTAATTCATTTTTCATCAATTCAAATAATTTTAACTACAAATCACTTTCAATCAACTCTTTCATATTTTTTTTTACATCAAATCAATTTTAATAATTATAATTTAAATATTATTGTAACACAAAACCAAAATTTTATTCAAACATAACTCAATTAACTTTTTTTAAAATTAAGTCTAATAATTCAATGAACCTAATCAAAATCAAAGTATGTTATATTCAATCACCCTACTAGGAGCGGTCAGATTTCAAACGCAGCACGAGGACTGCTGCCACGTTCACTGTTCACAACGGTCCAATTCCAGCTGCTTTTCCATTATTAATACTTTAATAACCTCAACCCGTACCAGTCGCCCCTTCACTTCACTATCAATAGTGTTGCACATATTGAACTCTTTTTATTCTTTTCTTGGCCCATAACGTAAAGAGAATCGGGTTGAAAATTTGGATAGAGTTTGTAAAAGAGAGCAATCATTTGTGCTCCATTATCTTAGTTTGTAACTAGTCAATATCAATTGATTCTTCTCGTTCTCTCTGTTTCCAATTTTAACTTAATGTACATCATATTTTTTTTAACAATGAATGCATTGTTATTATATGAGATGTTATATAGTATAACATTTTAATATAAAATTATAGATACATGTTAAATAAACATGATTGTCAATCGATTGGACCTAATTACATCACTATATGAGTGTGTTTGTTAAGTATCATAAGTTAGTTTATAGTTTATAGTTGGTTATAAGTTTCTTATATTCAAATAAAATTCTGTTTTTGTTACGTCAACTAATATTTTTTGTCATTAGCCTACAAGCCTAAAATTCACTTATAAACTACCATTTATAATTTGAACTACATTTACCAAATACACCTTCTAGCTATGTGTTGATATCAAGGTAGATTATCTTGGTGTTATGGTAACATTAAAGAAATCGTGAAATTTAACTCTTAAACTGGATTCTGGACGACGTCAAGCAGTGCATATTTGCATCTCGGTAATCTCATCTCGGTACTCGTAAATGATACCGCAGAATTTTCGGATATGTGGAGGTCATCAACACAAGTCGTCTGAACCTCGAAGAAGGCCAATTCGGTCAAAGAATTACTTATTAAGAAGTCGTAGAACGTCGGAAATCAATCAAAATACCGACATCGCAAGACAAGCCGACTTCGATCCGACAGATGTGACACTCGTCACACAAGTAGAGGCGCGCCCATGCTAATCATTGCCTACAAGATTCTTCTATGTCATCGCCGCCCCTAAGATGTCAAATCTTCATTAAAATGGGAATGATTTGTCTAGGGATGTGTGCCAAACATACCTATAAATAGCAGTTCCGAAAACGAGAGAAGGGTTCGAAAAACAATCATACATACTCATATACTCAACTCGGTAATCAGACTTGAAATATACTACAAAACCGACCTCTTTGTAATAAAACCGACTTCAAAATATTCAATAAAAATCTCATTTTCAGCAATCTTTTCTGTTAAAATTACATTGTGAACGTTGATTAAATCCGTTTATCAACATTTTGGCGCTAGAAGGAGGGCTCCATAAGATATTTGGAGTTAATTTTCGACATATATACACACCACATCTCATAAAATCAAGAATGTCACAGTCCGGACAAGACAATCCAACTACCATGGGAAGCGCTGTTCGTGTTGTTGAACCACCAACCGGTCAACATAACCCAGTACCTGTTATGCCGGACATTACCCAACTCATGCAAAATCCTGAATTCGCTCGTGGACTCACCGCTTTGGTGGCCCAAACCATGCCGGGGCCATCGAACAGAGCACCAGGACAACCTTTTGCTCCCATAACTCCGGCGAGACAACAAGCTCCTCCCCTATCAAGGGATAACAATAACCAAGTGGCGTCCCATGCTACTTCACAACCACGTAATCCGCCCCCTCCGCCGGTGAACAACGCACTGCCGGCGGAAATGAACCAACCAGCAGCGAATCAATCAGAAATGGTTGCCGAAAGTCACCCTCGACAAGTTGAAAGTTACCCTCAGCATATGCCCAGAGTGCCCCGTGCGGCACGTTCATTATTTCAACCAAACGAGAACCCGGCTGACCTGAGAACGCAAATTGAGCGTAATCGTTCCGCTCGACGTAACGCTTCAGAAGTCGAGGCGTTAAGAAGAAAGGTGGCAGAGCTGGAAGCCCGGCAAAACACTCAAATCAGGCCTTATCAACATCCCCACGTGCCAGAATCGGGCCATGTCTATATGGAAGCCGGTTCTCCTCTAGCAACCGAGTTAACTAGAGGACCGTTACCAGGAAAAGTCAAAGTCCCCCAAATTGGCCTCTACGACGGAAACGCGGATCCTGATGCCCACCTCGGACATTACACGTCATGGATGGACTTGCATGGTGCTGACGATGCTTTACGATGTCGTATGTTTTCCTTGACCTTAGGTCCCAAAGCTCAGAAGTGGTACTATTCGCTACCACCTGAATCGATCAGATGTTGGGGTCAACTCAGGTCGGCTTTCAGATCCCATTTCATCGGGGCTCAAATTAGCTTGATACCTAAGGAATCGATTACAAACATAGTCCAAAAGGAGGATGAAAGCTTAAAGGACTATATTGCACGTTTTAATGAACGCGTGCAAAACATGGAACCTTGTCATCCTGAGACACTTCTTGTCTCAGCAATCTCTGGATTGAAGCCAAGATCCATGTTTCGCTGGGCGCTGTGTCAGAACAAACCCAACACCTTTCAAGAGTTCCTTGTTCGCGCTCAACAACATGTTATTGCCGAAGAATCCATGTCGGTTCCCAACTTTGAATTCTCCTCATCAAAAGAGCAGAAGCCAACTTCTGAAAATAAGAAAAAGAAGTACCTCGGTAACTCGTCTAAGAATTCACCCTCCAAAGAATCGTATAAAGTAGAGCAGAGCGACACCGACATAAAAGCTGCCAGGAGACAATACAAGGAAGATCTAACCACGGGTTACCGATCCATTTACTCGGTTGGAGCCGCAACGGTGTATCAAGAGATCAAGGGAAAAGGAATCCTTCCCGAAGCTAGACCAGTCAAGACTCCCGAAAGTCAATTGGACAAGTCGCGGTATTGTGACTATCACCGATCTCCAGGTCACAATACCGATGAATGTCTGAGTCTATTGTCGGCCCTTCTGAAGTTGATTGGAAATCCACAAGTGAGAAAATTTACCAAACATGAAGTTAAAGAAAGGAGGCAAGTAGCCCATGTTCCTGACCGAGATGAAGAAGACGAAGACGCGATGAATCCCAAAAGAATCCGTCTACAACAAGGAGAGAAGGAAATATTCATGATCGGAGCAGAAGGACCCAGGTCGGTTGACGACCGACTTGGAAAAAGAAACAGGGACTGTGATAGCCCCAACTCTAATCGCACTCCTCAAATCCCAATTCGGTTAGGCTCTGTCCCCCGAGTTAACACTAACCGAGAAGAGCAAACGTCCTCACGTCGGCAGGCCAAAGCATACGCCAGGAAGGCATACAACTCGGGGAAACAAATAATGAATACCGATCTCCGGGAAACAATTAACTCACGCACTTGTCCGATCACTTTCACATTAGAAGATGCGAGCTTGTTCGAACATCCTCATTCGGATGCATTAATCATAACCGCCCCAGTTTGCGGGATTCCCGTTCATCGTATAATGGTGGACACTGGTGCATATTCGAGTATCATTATGCTTCAAGCCTTTAGGAAACTCGGACTCGATACAGCCGACGTCCGCCCAAGTAACGATAAAATTCACGGATTCAACGGAAGCGTGTCTCTTCCGTTAGGAGAAATAACCCTCCCCATCAGGTTCGGATATGGGCAGACTTCCAAGGTCATCATGGAAAATTTCAAAATTATGGACATCAACAACGAATACAATGCCATCATTGGAAGGACAGCCCTGTACAAGTTGCGAGCAGCAGTGTCCATTTTCCATTATTCGATCAAGTTTCCAACCGCTGATGGTGAGGGGACCCATTATGGCGATCAGTTGGGAGCCCGTGAGCTAATTTTAGCCATCCCATCTCGTGAAATCCATAATTTGGAGATGCATGTTGATGAAAATGAAAGAATGATCGACCATACTCGAGTTCCACGAGGCTTGACTCCCGAAGGCATTCAAGATGCCGACCTGAGAGTTGTCGCGACTCACTCTGCAGTCCAGTTGACATCGGCGTCTCCGACTTCAAACTCATCCGAAGTCATTACATCTTTGTCAGATATTCAGCCGACGTCAACAATCCCGACTTCGAATCCCACTGAGAAAGACCTTA